GCCCTGCCACATAGTGAGCCGCCCTTCGCTTCCTTCGGCGCCGCCAAATTGAGATCCATTGCAAGGCCCTGCGCCTGCCACATTGTGAGCCGCACGCCGCCCCTGCCAAATAGTGAGCTCCCAGAGCATCTCTATGGTTGCTTGTGGAGGACTGGAGCTCCGCAGGGGCCGCTCTGTCCGCGGCCCGACCATAGAGCGCGGCCGGAAGCGGTTGCCTAGCAACGTTCTCCTTCCCCCCGCCCCCCCCGCCGTCGGGAAGCTTCTGGGCGCGCGCGGGGCATTGTGGGAGCGGGAAGCGGTCAGCGCCGGGGGAGCCGCCGCGATGATGGTGAGTGGCGCCCGCCTCATCTGCCGCCATCCGCGCGCGCCCGCCGCTCCCCGCGCCGSCGGGGCTGCCGGGCGCTGGAGCGGGGCCGCCGCCGGATCGGCTCCGGTGGCGGCGCCGCCCTCGCGGCACCGGGCGCCCGTGAGGGCGCGAGTCGGGCCCGGCGGGCTCCCGCGGGGACTACACCTCCCGTCAGGCCTTGCGCGGCGGGCGCCGCGGCTGTAGGGGAGCGGGCGCGCGGGGCACGCCGGGAGTTGTAGTCCGCAGGGCGCTGGCAGGGGGAGGCAGCCCTGGCCCCCGCTCCCGGTACTGAGGCCTGCTCTGAATCCAACACATTTTYCCTCTGGGATGCGGTTTTCCCTTTAGCTCGCAGCCCTGGCAGCCCTGGAAGCACGCGCTGTTCACCTGAGGTTTTCCCAAGYCTCATTCCAGCCGTCACCCCTCGTTGCTGGAACCTCCGCTCTGCTCCCGTGTTTTTTTGTCCTTAGCRCTCTGCTCTCCGCCTGCAGGCAGCTGCTTAAAACCAAAAACCTGCAGACTTTGCTGCTCCCGCTCCTTTCCCTGAATKACTGCCTTTTCACCAAGAAACACTTCCCCAAATCTTCCCTGAAGCCATGGGAGTTCCTTRGAGACGAAGCTTAAACAAGGAACGCTCGGGGGAATGAACCTTTGCAATGTCCAAACGAGAAATTACTTYCACATAGCAGTGGCAACCTGTGGCTTTCTCTTCCAGGGCTTCCTGTGGTCACAGCCTTACTTGGAAGCTCTGATTGGGTCAATCCGTAAGGCAGGACACTTAGGGATAGGGATAAGGATTTTTGTATGTCATTTTGGTCACAGAGCCTTTAAAGACCCAGTAGTTTATGGTCTGGGGAGTGAAAGAGCTGTCACGTATCTGGCTGCTCGTACTGGGGGAAAAGCAGCCTCTTGTTGGACCTTGGCATGGTGCTCAGCACCCTGTGGATGCTTCCCATGGAGTGACGGCTCTTCCGTGGCCTCTCTCGGCAGCCCACACCGGTTATCCTGCTCAAGGAGGGCACGGACACCTCGCAGGGCATCCCCCAGCTTGTCAGCAACATCAACGCCTGCC